CGCTCTGTTTGCCGGGGTAATACTCAGGGGTTGGTCCTGGGTCGTTACAATAAATTTGTATTCACAAGAACAAGACTTCTCAAATAAAAGATTGTGTGTTAAATTTCAATATTTATTTATTATTAAGTTGTCTTAAAACTAACAATGTTTATTCATTTATATTTGATATGTATAAAAATTATTATACCTGTTGTGGAAGAAAAGTTTATGGGTTATAGATGTTATTATCTATAGACGTGTTCACGCCTATATATATATATATGGTTTAGTAAGTAGGAAAGGATCTAAAACGTGTTCACGCTTTATATTAGGTTTTAATAGCAGGATATGAACGTGTTCACGCTTATATTTGCTACTGGAAAGGATATAAACGTGTTCACGCTTATGTACGGTGGCTATAGGAGGAATAAAACGTGTTCACGCTTTATATTAGGTTTTCATAGCAGGATATGAACGTGTTCACGCTTATATTTGCTACTGGGAAAGGATATAAACGTGTTCACGCTTATATACGGTGGCTGTAGGAGGGATATACAAATCAAAGGAAAATTTGTTATGTAAGTCTCTGTTTATACTTAGCTCTGCGACCGACTTTGTATGTTGTGTTTGACTGTCCAAGTCCCTGGTACGTTCTCTTGTCTTCGAAAGTTGATAACGAGCCTCTGTCTGCTTCTGAACACTTTGCGTGTTGATCACTGACTGCCTTCTTCTAAGTAAATGCGTCTTCTTATATACGCATCAGACCAAACTTTAACGTAGCGCAAAGCTTAGTTTACAGCTGGCTTGGATTTTTGACGTCGTTGCTGTTTTGCGCTTTCGCCGTAGTTAATATGCGCGCGCATCTATTTTAACACAAAGCTCTTTGCACAAAAGCTTTCTTTTGACGTTTCTTGTGTTGTGCATTTGTTTTGTTTTGAAACGTGTTTAGCTTAGTGTCGGTAGTGGCGGCTTTAAATATTTATATTTATTTATTAAAATAAAATAAATATTAAAAATATTAAAAGTACAAGTTTAAATAATAAATAAATAAGGTAGGTACAATATTTATTTATTTGAATATATTTTGCATTCTTTTAAATTTTCAATGTAATCTCAGGTTTTATTCAACTGGTGCAGTTACGTGCATGCGGGGGTGGGTTTATGGTAAGTTATTTACTTTTAAAATATTATATAAAAATTAATCAATTTTTATTTCAGGTATTAACTGCACACTAGTTATATGTAGGTTGGAAATTATTACAAAATTTCCATCCTTACATTTCCCTCCTTCTCCGAGGAAAATTAATTTGCCACTATCTGCCTGCATGATTTCTGTGCCGCTTCTTTGGGCTCTTGAATATTTTGAAAAATTTATCTTGGTGTATACTAACAAGATCATAGTCCTTCTGCTGAAGTACATCTAAGTTATTCATCGGCTTCTGCAGTTTTTGGGTGCTGAATGGTTTTGGAATTCCTAGACTTAGTTCCTGTACTTGTATCAGAGGATTGTCTATCTTATCCTTCGGACGTGTGGAATCATTTTTTTCTTCTTCTGGCTGTTGCTTTCGTTGACTATCGTGGTTAATTGAAACTTGTTGCAATGATTGTATCGGACTTGGGGTTTCTTGAGTCAATCGAACTCGTCTGGTATGATCTTCGATTACTGTAACCTTTCGTTGACCTTGTTGTGTTTCAATATCTTGAACTTGATGTTGTTCTACGTATCCTTGTGTATCTTGAATTTTAACTTGTGTTATATGGTGATTCCTCGTTGGATTGATTTTTCTTGGTTGATTAGCTACCTGTGAATTTTCCTTGCCAGGACTTGGATCTCTGTGCCGTTGAATCTTGTATTTTTGCGCTTTGATTATGATTGGTTCTTTCTGTCGTTGTACTTTCTGTGTTTGAGCTTGTAATATTTGCTGAATTGGGTTGACTCGCTGTTGTTCAGATACTTCGGGATTTTCTTTGATAAATATTGGTTTTAATTGGTTTTGTAGTTCTTGTATTTCAACTGATACTATTTCACGGTTTGGTGTGACTCGCTGTTGTATAGATACTTTGGGATTTTGCTTGTTGGGTCTTGAATATTGCTGTGGTCCACACGTTTGAATTTGAACTTCATTTGGAAGTTTACCTACTTTGACCTGATTCTGATTGAACGATTTTAGGTTTTCTTTGAAAGACGTGGCACGTTGCAGTGTTTGGTGTACTGATACTTGCTTCGATTGACTTTGAAATATTTCCTGATCTGGTGTAACTTGTGCTGGTTTAAATGCTTCGGGATTCTTCTTGGTAAGTTTTGGGTCTCCTTGTCGTTGTATTTCTTGCGTCTGTGAATTTTCTCTGATGGGCCTTATGATTTGTGATCTTTGTTTAGGTTCGCATAGTTGGACTTGGACCATTTGTTGAACTTCTGTGACTTGGTTCCGATTGAATGGTTTTAGATTTCCTTTAACTGGCATGACATGTTGGATATTCTGCTGAGTTGATATTTGGTACATTCGATTTTGAAATATATCTTGATCTTGTATGATTCGTGCTGTTACTTGCTTAGCTGTCGGCTGGTTGCGGTGCTGATTACTTCTCTGCTGGTTGAGAATAGGTGACTCGGAATTTGAACTGGGAATAAGTTTATCTTGTATCGGCATAGTAGGTACGCGTCTCACTGTATTTTCCCATAACATCGTTTGTGGATATTCAACTTCTATGCGACCAACTATCACTTCCTGTCGAACACCGCGTCGACTCATTTTATCCTGTTCTGCGCGAAGTTCTTCGAAGTCATCAGCTAGTATTGTTAATTCTGTTAAGCTCGAAAAGTCTCGACGTTTGATGTACATTTGGTACTCTGTGCGCATGTTTCGGTATATTTGCTCCAATTGCGAATCTTGGTTTATGCCTGTGTGTCGCATAAGATATTTGATTTCCAGTACATAATCTTTAAAACTTTCATGTTCCTTCTGAACTCGTGCTCGCACCTCGTCTTCTAATCTGTCGAAATACCTATGTGGAAGGAAAAATTTTAGAAAGTCCATCTTGAAGCTTGACCAAAGGTTCCAATGCTTATTGTTGTTGCGGTACCACATCAGTGCTTTGTCTTCAAGCAGTATGGGCATCATCCTGGGAACTAAATTCACGTTGATGTCGTCAAGGTCCGCTACCTCTTCTATGCTTTCCACAAAATCTATGGGATCTATTCCTCCATTGTATTTTACAGACCATTTTCGTATCCGCTCCACGGTTTGTGCATACGATAAGGCCATGATGTGCTGCTTATGCGAACGTCTTGTATGTTTCTCTGTTTAACTGGCTTGAATTGGACTACGGATGAAAGTATTTAGATTTTATCTTTTGATCATGTTAGTTTGTGCCATGGTAACGTGGATATTACTTTGATTTAATTTTGAGAAGTCTGTCTGTCCCTGCTCGGGCGCCAATTGTAACGACAATTTTTCGTCGCTCTGTTTGCCGGGGTAATACTCAGGGGTTGGTCCTGGGTCGTTACAATAAATTTGTATTCACAAGAACAAGACTTCTCAAATAAAAGATTGTGTGTTAAATTTCAATATTTATTTATTATTAAGTTGTCTTAAAACTAACAATGTTTATTCATTTATATTTGATATGTATAAAAATTATTATACCTGTTGTGGAAGAAAAGTTTATGGGTTATAGATGTTATTATCTATAGACGTGTTCACGCCTATATATATATATATGGCTTAGTAAGTAGGAAAGGATCTAAAACGTGTTCACGCTTTATATTAGGTTTTAATAGCAGGATATGAACGTGTTCACGCTTATATTTGCTACTGGAAAGGATATAAACGTGTTCACGCTTATGTACGGTGGCTATAGAAGGAATAAAACGTGTTCACGCTTTATATTAGGTTTTAATAGCAGGATATGAACGTGTTCACGCTTATATTTGCTACTGGAAAGGATATAAACGTGTTCACGCTTATGTACGGTGGCTATAGAAGGAATAAAACGTGTTCACGCTTTATATTAGGTTTTCATAGCAGGATATGAACGTGTTCACGCTTATATTTGCTACTGGGAAAGGATATAAACGTGTTCACGCTTATATACGGTGGCTGTAGGAGGGATATACAAATCAAAGGAAAATTTGTTATGTAAGTCTCTGTTTATACTTAGCTCTGCGACCGACTTTGTATGTTGTGTTTGACTGTCCAAGTCCCTGGTACGTTCTCTTGTCTTCGAAAGTTGATAACGAGCCTCTGTCTGCTTCTGAACACTTTGCGTGTTGATCACTGACTGCTTTCTTCTAAGTAAATGCGTCTTCTTATATACGCATCAGACCAAACTTTAACGTAGCGCAAAGCTTAGTTTACAGCTGGCTTGGATTTTTGACGTCGTTGCTGTTTTGCGCTTTCGCCGTAGTTAATATGCGCGCGCATCTATTTTAACACAAAGCTCTTTGCACAAAAGCTTTCTTTTGACGTTTCTTGTGTTGTGCATTTGTTTTGTTTTGAAACGTGTTTAGCTTAGTGGCGGTAGTGGCGGCTTTAAATATTTATATTTATTTATTAAAATAAAATAAATATTAAAAATATTAAAAGTACAAGTTTAAATAATAAATAAATAAGGTAGGTACAATATTTATTTATTTGAATATATTTTGCATTCTTTTAAATTTTCAATGTAATCTCAGGTTTTATTCAACTGGTGCAGTTACGTGCATGCGGGGGTGGGTTTATGGTAAGTTATTTACTTTTAAAATTATTATATAAAAATTAATCAATTTTTATTTCAGGTATTAACTGCACACTAGTTATATGTAGGTTGGAAATTATTACAAAATTTCCATCCTTACAATTCTTTGATAACTTTTTGTGGTTTTCATTTAGCGTTTCGTCATTTTATTTGATTGACAGAGTTATTAAGACAAATCTGCAAAATACAGTAGCACAAAGACAAACAAACAAAAAATAATAAATAATATGAATGAAAAGTATCTACCACCAAACGCAAAAATATTTAAGAATATAATTTACCTATGTCACTATGCAGTTGACAACTTCTAAAATATAAGCAAAACAAAAATATTTGCGGATGTCACATACTTAGTCTATGAGTACTGCTTGCTATTTGGATGATGTACTTCCAAATTTATATATACGAGTACGTATGTGACCAATTTTGTTATTATAGTCCTAAAGGAAATATATGACTTCGTTTATATTGTATGTAATCTAAAAAAGTAATAAACAATAAAAATTTAGATAATAAAGGATATAACTTAAGATGAATAACTGATACTAATTGAGAGCAGATATAATATATATTAGATATATGCGTCTTTGCTTGAATTCCAAATTTATATATGACTCTTAAAATCAAAATACAAACTGAAATAGAAAATATAGTCTAGTATTTTCAGTTTATTTTATATACATTTTACTTGCAAATTGAGCAATTTTTATTTCATTTTTTATATAGAACTACTAAAAAGTAACATATGATAATATATATATAAAGATTATTTATTTATTTTTTTATAGAATAAAATAAAAACCAGAACGTGTGAAAACGTGAAAATGTTAACAAACGAGCGGTGGCAACAATATTTCCTATGTGGTACCTTCTTACAAAAATGTAATATATTTTTTTTATATGTTCTTCTTGATGCCATGTGCGACATCATCCATATAAAAATTAAAAACATATACAAATGCGGCGAAAATAAATCACGGTTATCATTAAGATTATTATATGAAAACTTAAAAATTATAAATGAAGGAAACACACTTCAGATACACACTTGTTAATTAAAATATCCAAAAATTTGGGTTTGGGACTTTAATTTTTTTCTTATTTTCAATAAAAAGAGATTCCACTTTATTCATATTCTTATAATGATCATTAGTTGTAGTATCATTGATTTGCAAATAAAAATTCAGAATTTTGTATGTGTCTTCTACTTCATTCTTCGAAGGCTAATGAACAATTACATCCGCCGAACTCTCATCAACACTTTCCGTTGCAATTAGAATTGGATCCAGTAATCCAGTAATCGTCATCTATAGGAAAGCTTGATGTACAAATTTTATTGTCAAGCTCAATATAATCGTTAAGAGTAGCATTGGAAGTTATTTTATTTACTTTAAAGCACGCTGTCAGCGACTGGCATTTGCAGAAAGAAGCAAAGTAAGAAAAAAAAAAATTAAATATTTGGTTTGGAAAAAGGGACTTCTCCTAACAGCAAAATGCATTTATACTTAAAATAAAAAATTCGACTTATAGAATGCACTTTCCCATATTCCCATTGGCACGGAACAAAATTTTTTTTCGAGTTATAGAGAAATTCGGGTTATAGAAGTTCGAGTTATGGAAGTTTGACTCTATATCTTCATCCGATATTTGCAGTATAATATAATCTTTACATAATACAAATTAAGCTTCGGAATGAGTTTTAAAGATTTTACAGATATATCTCAATATTCACAGATGCTCACTAAACTATATAAAAATTGTAAAGTATTCATTTTGTGGATACCAAGCATTACTAAAATTGATGATAACGAAATAGCTAACAAGCTGACTACCCATTATTTCCGAAAAACTTTGGAGACAAACCTATTATTATATATAATATATGTTGAACGTTTACTTTATCATTCAACTGTTTCTGAAACAATTTACATTTTCATAGAATTTAAATAGCACGCCTTATAAAAAGGTAAAATTAAAACATTTTTTATGCCTATCGTTGAAATCAGAGAAAGCATCCATATAATCTAGGTTTATCTAAGAACAAGCGCTTGTAGCTCTGTAAATTGAAACCTGAAATACTTTTAGAATAATTTGATGCCTTAATTAAAAAAAGAGTCATTCTATTTGATAGCATTTAACTACAATTGGAAAGATATATAAATGGAAAGCTAATAACTTTGTTATAGTAAATTTCTGTAGAGAAGAACAATGATGCAACTATAAAATATATTAAAAAACCGGTTTTAGCTTTTTATGATCATGTAATTTATTATTGCTTAGTAGTCCTTCATAAAGAAATAGACTGTAGTTTTTATTAGGGGTAGAAGATGGAATTTAGTACTAAAAGCAATAAATTATAACCTTCAGTAATACGTATAATTGTTCAAACAAATCAAGGGCGCACTATACTGGTTAGTAAATCCATATTTTTCTATATACTTTTCTTATTGCTAACCTATTTTATTTATTCTCTCTGTGTTTACACGTTTCCATTCCCCTTTTCTTCTGTTTTGTTCTGTTTATTTTAAGTTTATCTTTTAGAGACATAATCTCAAGTCTAAAAGCCAACTAATTTTGTTTATTCAGGTACTATTTTTACTATATTTTTTTCTAAAGAGGTTTTTCGAAAAGTAGTGAACTACAACAACAAAAATTCATGTATCGAGTATTGCGAAATATCTATTCGCAGTGGTCTTGGAATTTATTCTTGTATATAATTATTCGTAAATAATTTTTTGAAACTGCAAGTACTAGGACTGCAAATACTTGTGTCCTGCCAATTTTGAAGTTCAGAGTGAGCGCGACTTAACCAACTAATGCAAAGCCGTACTTTAAGGTTCACACATTTTTCTAGAGTTAAGTTACTTTGCCGTAAATTTTTTTATTAACAAATTCACTTGCCATGTGTATATTAGAACGAAATCATAAACCAACTGTGGAATAATTAAATTGATTAATTACATTTTTTTTTAATTGTTAAATTTCAATACTATTCTGTTTGTAGAGGTATTATTTCTTGCATGATTTATATATTCTTTTTTTCTTAAATATTCTTTTTACTCTATTTGCCAATTTATACATTTTCTTTTTATTTATATCTATCCATTTCTATTATTATTTCGCTACTTTGTTTTACACTTCAAAAAATATATTAATAGTACTACTAAATGGCTTCATTTTTCGTTTAAAATATTCTTCCTACTTATAAACTAAAAATAACGCTGTAGTCGATTACAACATCAGTCAAATTGAGTCTAAAAACAGAGTTCAAACTGCATAACTTTATTTTTAAGTTTGGTTGAACTACAATAACACTTAAACAATTAAAAATACTACCCACTGTTCTCATGTATACTAACTTTTTTCCAACTGTCCCCATTTAATATAATCGTGGGAAGCCCATAGCTATTAACTTGCATACATTATGTATTATTAGCAGTTAATGTTGCCCACCTCATTGCGTTATTATGTGAAGGTAACGAAATAATAATTCCGGTGTAAAATAATATTTATTAGCTTTTCTCGCTTTTTTGTTGTTTTGACTACAAAAACACTATCTATACCGCTTTATGCTATTGATTCTGTTTATTTAATGTTCTATGCTTTTCTTTATTGTTTTTGCTTTTGTTGCTTTATAGGATTTGCTTTACGGAGTATTTGTAATTTGATAAGCAATTCAGCACGTTTTTCATTATAACATTATGTATCTTTCAGATACATACACACAGGTGTACGAGTACGTACATACGTATATTATATATTTTACTGTCAAATGTTTACGTGAGCTAATTTCTTGTTTTGTTTTCAATGGTTATATTTTTCCTCTTTTTTTTATTTTCATTTAACTGCTTTTTTATGCATTTTTAATGTTTAGATATTTTAAAGCTTTGATATTTCTTTTGATCTTTTAATTTTTGTTTTTTTTTTCTTATACTATTGTTTACGTTTTATCTTCGCCTACAGTATATCTTGCTTACTTTATTCTGAACTTTCATCATTACTTATACTTTAAGCCAGACGACAACCAATTTTAGTGCTTTCAAGTCTTGAGATAAAACTATTTTTCAAAGCATTTTAATTTGAAGCTCTATTTTCTGTTGCAGATAAATATTTCAACATTGAATTTTAATCAACCACTCCTACGTAGTGTCATTTATCTTTATTAAAATAGAAAGTGGAACTGAAGCAAAAGGATGTGCACGCTATAGTACTGAATATGAAGAGTAATAACGAACTTAGAAATAAATGGAAGTGTATATATTTATATATGTTAAGTATGATAAACAAAATTAATTATTATTGTTAAATTGCAATCAATATATTTCATTTTTAAAAACCAAATACTTTAGCAAGCAAAATTAAATACCTAAATACACTAAAAAGTTAGGGAGGAAATTCTTAAACTCAATTTAATTGTACAATGACATAAAAAAGATTACTTAAAGTCAAAGCAATAAGAAATTAATTTAACAACGAATAATTATCTGGAGAACGAGATTCATATTAACAAAACCATGTTTAGACATATGTTATATAATTATGGGACTCTACAAGCAATTCTAGTATTGAATATCTGCAACGTTATAAATCAAAAACACTGCGAGCTGTAGTTAATCTCCGTTATGCTTTAATAATATTGTGTATGATATAAATAAGGCATATTATTAATATGTAAAGTACGATATAAAGTAACTTCAGCAAATACTATATAATGATAAGCTCCATAATAATAATTTAGCTTGAAATCTAATAGATAATAATTTAACAAAACGAAGACATTAAAAAATATACGTATTTGACCTGCTGCATAGATTTGCAAAATGCTACAATAATTATGAAATCTGTAAAGTAATATACAACAATATATAGTACCTTTTCTTGTAAACTTTCTATTATAAAATAAACTTTCTATTATTTTTATTTTAAAATAAAACACGTTCGCAGGAACGTGGCGTATATTCAAACATTGTGTTCTCTGATGAAAAAATTTCGCAATGAATAAGATCATAAACTCTCAAGATATCGTATTCACTTAACTGAACGCACTGTCGAAAATTTGAGACTACGAATGCCCACCCGAAGTAATATTCCAATTCAAGTAATGGTATGGGCAGATATGACCGCTGTTGTACGCTCTCCAATCGTTTTCATTATCGGAAAAATGTTTTAGAAAGTGCTTTAGTGCTGTGGGCACGCAAACATTTCGATCATAGACCATGGACGTTCCAACAAGACTCAGCATCGATCTCAGACTCGGTCTCATGAAGCTTTTGTGAAACAAGAATAGTAAAAAAATCATGTTTTGAACTTCATTTCGACCACACAATGACTTTAGAATTCGCAAGATGCACATTCGATGGACTATTCCATCTAGGTCATTTTGGAAAGCAAGGTGAGGACTAAAAAATATGCCAGTATGGTTTCGCTGAAGAAATTCATTCTTCAGGAATGGATCAAAA